GAGTACAAGTTCCTGAAACATTGTTCGTGATGAGCGCGAGATGGTTCTAGGAAACAAAATGAGGCGAGACGATTCTATCACTTCAGGCTTTAAATACCATAGAGGTGTGACCTGATTAAATGCATTCTCCTTTAAATAATTACGAGCAAGGAAGCAGTTCTAGTGAACAAGGTCGTGAAATTTGGTCTTAAAGAAGTGATTGGTTATTTCACATAAGTAACATAGGGAAATAAAAACATAACAATGCTCAATCTGGCCATTCGACGTTGCTAATCAAAGGATGACTGAAAACTATCTTCTTTCCTCTCTTCATAAATCGCTCCATAACAGGTTAAAGCGAGATCTATTTCTCTTTGAACTTCTGGAAATTATGAAACAATACGATCCGTCTTCGCCAATAAGAAAATCCTGCTGAAATCTCATGGAAGGCAATTTTGATGTTTTTCATGACGAAAGATTTCGGTTCCTCTTCCGATTCCAATGCATCAGCTTAAGCAACTTTTACTCTTTCCAATCTGATAGACCATCCCCAAATTAGTCAATTAGTTCTTCGACATCATGTGCATCAACTTCTAATTTAAGATGTTCAGCAAGTTTCACTATTTTTTGGTCAAGTATTTATCTTCACAAGGTTTGTCCTTACCGAAACTACTGAAAAATTTTTTCCAACCTTAGTTCATAAATTTCCTACAACCTCTTTGTATGCTAGTGCAATGTTTTGCATTGCTTAGCAAGTATTGTACTACTTCGAAACATCTCGTAATTAATGTTCAGTCCATACTCCGACCATCGCTGTTAAGTAGCTTGCTAGTAACGTAGAGGCATCAAGTAAAATTTATAAAACTCGAATATTTTTGTAGTTTCAGGATAATTTACCTAACTCGGGGGTCATTCTATACTTTAAATATTAAATCTAACTTAATTCTCCCTCATTATGAAAACCTTTGTAGAAAGATACAAAATTAATTTAACTCTAAAAGTTTAACTCGCATAATCACAAACAATAACACAAACTATACAGCCTTAACTGATAAAGCTAGTAAACTGTGCAGTAGTAAATTTCTCAACGAAGAAA